CAGCTCTTGATTCATCCCCTGTCCTTCCTAATACCTTTGCAAATAGCCATTCGCTTTTTCTTTCACCGTTTAACATCGAACAGTCGCGAGTGTGAGTCGATCGATTCCCGGATGGATGTCGATTCCAACGAGGCTCGCGTATGTATGCGTGCGTGTGTATACACGTGTTCGTACGCGAATCAGAAAGGAAATACGTTAAAGTTGAACGAATTAGCTTTTACAAATTAAAGCCTGATCCGGACTGGAAGTTCGTCCCGCGATAGAATTTAAGGGAACTCGTTCGTATATCGATGAACTATAAAACTTGGACCGATAGAGGGAGAGAGAATAGTCCCTTGTGGACTGATGGAAAATTTACCAGGAACGATGTCGTCCACTGCTGTGCTCTGGCCACTTCTTAGTGCGATCCATAGGAGAATCCTCTCTCTCGTCGAAAGGTACGAGACGTGGACAATGTTCGAGGGCTCGTTAAACTTTCACCGAATGGGAGAAAGGGTTGCGCCACGAGAACAGCCGGTTGGAATACGTTGAAGCGGATGGACCCCATTGACGAACCCGTGTCTTGTATTTTTAATGCACCTGTCTCTCGTGTGAGGTTATCCGTCTTTGCGTTGCGATACATGGGTGAAAATGTTATTATTGTCGAAATATCCGCGATATAAGAGGATGTTTATTAGTGTAGATCGAATTATTACGACACGGTATTTATAATTAGTATTTTCTATCATTTTATTCGCGTAAATTTATGGAAATTTAATTTCTTTGTTGCTTCTGAATTGTTTTTAGAGTAATACGTATGAGCGAGATAATAATAAAAATTATTTTAATAGCTTTTTCGTGTAACATTTACTGTATTTTAATTCGTAGAGGTATATTGTTAGTAATAATAGTGAAATAAGTGATAATTTTTATTTACTACTTGATATCTTTGAAATGGTAGAAAGAAATAAGGGAAAGAATGGCTATGTAGCCTATTAGCGCGTTCAAACTACGCGCGCTTAGACGCTGTGGAACGCGGAATCTAAGATGGCGTCATTAGTGGACCAGACACGGCGCAGTACACCCACGTGCACCCGGCGTCGTCACATTTTGTCGTTTGATCGTTCGTTTCTCGTGTCTGTGCGGTATTCTTTTCCTTTCACCGTGTCTGTGTACAAGCTAGTAACCGTAGTGCATCATAATTATTACCGTGAAGTTCATTTTCTGACCTGCATCGGCACCTGATACAGCATGGCTTCGACAAGGGTAAGAAGTTTTCTCAACATTTATCAACGCGTACAAATTCCGCGTGTATCGAGTTTTCGTTAGCACGAGAAGCGCGAATAACTACCTTTTTATACGCTGTATATACTTATATAACACGTTTCTATTTATGGAAGTCAAAGTATTTTTACGTTTGCCTGCCGGCGAAGCAAGTGCTTCTTAAAAATTAAAAGTTAACGCGTAGGTGAAAGGTTAGAGGTAACATTTTTGCAGAATGCTCGTCGGTCTCCTTAAACATCAAACGTTTAAGCGAACTCTGCTCTTCCCTTACTTTTAATTAAAACCTTTGATATTTAACGCCGAGAAATTCCCACGAGAAACGTCGTAAATGGTAGCTCCTTTCGTAAATCGAACCGCACGGAATTTATCCGAAACGTGAAGCATGGGCGTGTATATGAGTCTGTATACGAGTGTGTGTGTTTCTAACGGAAAGATTGAGCGAGAGTGTGTATATGCGTGTGAGAGAGAGAGCGAGCGAAGGAACGAGCGATCCTGCGCTGGAGGTCGAGAGTGACGACGGAATAATAAAGGAGGGCGAACCGATGCCATGTTGTTTTCTTTTTCCGGCATCGCCGGCACGTGGCGCGAGCGGCGGGCAGTGTGTTTCGCGACAAGGAACGAGAGAGAGGGCACGTACGAATTGTTGTAGTCTGCGAAAGATGGAAGTATACGGTAGGTTATTTAGAAGACGTTGCTTCGCATAGGTTGTGTAGCATTTCTTTTGCTCTAGAACGTTCGACACTCGGTCAACGCTCTCGACACCAATATATATAAGCGTGTCCCTGAACATATCCAGTATCCCTGAAATATAAAAAGTGGGTGACACTACTAACCGATTGTCTGACTGGGTCAATCGTTCAGATGTTCTGAACTTCGATCCCGAGAAACATTGCTGCTCCGCGATTTAAAAAACGGAAACCAAAATCGGAAAATGGCGCGGAGTGGAAACGAAATATCCGGTGCAAACGTTGCAAACCTCGTTTGCCACGGCACGACGACGCAAATTAATCGAGTAATCCTCGAAAAATTCTTCGTCGTTTCCCTCTCGGCTCGGTCGCCGCGGTGTGATATTCTAGACAAATATTTGTCCCGAGAAATCGGATGCAGTCGGCGTGTGGCATTGGTATCGATGGCAAGGACGGGAGCAAGCAACGTCAGTTTTGATACAGATCGCCGATTTACCGACGTACTTACCGGCTGTTTTATCCGCGTTAAATCTCGGATCTCGATTATAGTTACGACTAGAGAACCGCGTTTAACGATGTCGTTTCCACCGTGTAACTCATTGCGGGATTAATGCAATTATGGGGTTCAGTTCCATGGGGATGAACGTATCAGACGATTCGTGGAGGTAATAAATGTTCCCTTTATTCGGCCGCCATATGACCAACTTGTTGCACTATCTTCGTTTCTGTTTTCTTTTCTCTTCGCGTTTTGTCTTATACTGTATGAATGTATGTACTTTGTGAGTCGTATAAATTCGAGTGTACAGAAATGTATACATTTACAGAAGATACTATGAACTCTCAAGACTATTATATATGATAGAATCTGGTATGGCAGTGAAGTTAAAATGGAAAGAACACAGATTACACAAAGGCAACGCTTTAATATTTTCTGACTCGTTCGGTGTGCGCTTTACAACGATTGCATAGAGACTGGATCGTTATAACAATAGAATTTAGCTAGCGACCGACACGTACACAATCATACATGTGTGTGTAATAACCAAAAAACAGTTTAATATCGACATATTGATGTGAGATATCTCGATTAATAGCATTAGCATTCCATCAATATAATAAAACCGAAACTCGAGATTAGGTTAAACTATACTTAAATTATACTTGACGTTCTCACTCTTACTTTTTTCCCAGTAAATATTAATTTTATGAACCTGGTACGTAGAGTGGGAAAGTCAAGTATAATTTAAGTATAGTTTAACCTAATCTCGAGTTTCAGTTGTATTGTACGATAGTATTGAGAGTTTATAATATCTTCTGTAAATGTATACATTTATATACACTCGAATTTTTGTGAAAATTTTTGGGACAGTGCCATTTTCATCTAACAAAGTCTACTTCTTAGTCAACTTCTTCTTAGTCAACGAGAAAATCATCCTGATTAAAAGTATCTTATTTTCCTTCTTCTATTTCTGCTAAATCCACGCCGTTTGACTATCCCGCACTCAGTCAGTGACAATTGCAGGCACCCAGTTTTTGAGAATCAGCCTGCAATAATACCCCGGTTCTAAGCGTGTCAAGCGTCATCTGCGATGATGATCCTTTCAGAATCAAACGCGTTAACATCCCCTCGAAGCAGAAAACCCTTTGCACACCTCGTCGCTCGAAATTCACGCGCGCCAACTTGTTGCTGCTTCTTTCACGGGGAGTTTCAACGCTGAAGCTCCCTTTCATCGAGTAGCAGAGCGTCCTTTCTTCGAGAGATTTCACGAACGTGTCAAGTTGGTGCGTCTCGCCCTATCGATGGCGTCGAATCGCCGTGGATATCAGGCAAATGGCCTGGAGAGCAAGTCTTTAGCTGGATGAAACGGTCGTAAGGCTGTCACGTCGAGGGTGAGCTTAGATGCGTCTCGCAGATAGCTCGATGCCAAGATCAGCTTGCTCGTTGTACAGGATTTCCGGAATTCCACCCTCCACAGAGATAGAGACTTAATTGTACCGGTATAATTTTCTGCATCTGACAAGAATCCGATGATGGATTCTCTTCGATGCATTCTGCGTGTCGATAGAGGTTTAGGGAACATTTGGATTATTATTCCTAATATCAGTGATACGTGAAAGGAATTTTAAGTTCTTCGAAGGACTCGCGCGTTGATGGTCAACAAATTTCGTTATCGTGTTATAGTTGGGGAGATTAGGGTTGTGGGTGTCCTCCCCCACTGTCGTTGATGTCAGGCTGGCGCAGGGGTACCTCCATCGTTGATGGGGTAGCTAGAAGGGACGAGAGGAAAAGGATGCGTTTCGTCCCAGGTTTGCTAACAGACTCGTCATTTAGGCTTTCTTCTAGCAGACCTTGCCTTAGACTGGGATACTATTGGAAGGACGGGGAATTACATTTATAGGATCTGGAGTTTTTTCCAAGAACTTATGAGAAAGTCCTCGAAGTCGGAAGAAAAGGATGCGTTTCGTCCCAGGTTTGCTAGCAGACTCGTCATTTAGACTTTCTTCTAGCAGACCTTGCCTTAGACTGGGATACTATTGGAAGGACAGGGAATTACATTTATAGGATCTGGAGTTTTTTCCAAGAACTTATGAGAAAGTCCTCGAAGTCGGAATTCCTATAGTGGCGAGGGTGAGGATGATGGTCGCTACAGGGTTGTCTTTGGTTCCAATTTCGCAGTGCATCCAAAGCACATGTATCTTTTGCTAGTGTGACATCATCTGATCTTGCACAAAATTACTAGGAATCGCACATGTCAATACTATGCCATCCAGTAGCACCACGTTGGGGTCATGCGAAAACTATCGGGCAAATGTCGATGACACCACGTTGGTATCATGCGCAAATGATGAGTGAGTCTTATCGGCGCCAAGCAAAAGAATCCCAATTAGACGTACGTACAGCATAGTGTTAAGAATTCTTGCGGCACACCTAAAATTATGGTAGCACGCTGGATCACCTAAAAGATATTATCTTCTGAACCGTGTTATAAATTACAAAATTTCTTTCTCTCCTGTATTTTAACAATTCTCGTTGTTCTTGTTGTTTACCAGGAACGGACACATGCTGACGCATCGAAACAAGAAGCCGTACGAGTGCAAAGCGGAAGGATGCGGCAAGTCGTATTGCGACGCGAGGAGTCTGAGGAGGCACACGGAGAATCATCATGCCGGTAGCAAGGTGAACGAGAGCGTTAGTCCTAGCAGTCCAACCACTGGCCCTCATACACCCAACACACCAGGAAGCAATCCCAGCACACCCAGCACACCAGGTGCAACATCGACACCGAATGGCCACGGGCATCCGGCCTTGAAGCAACTGCTCGCCACGGAACCGACACAGGCGCAACAGCAAAAGGTAAGTGCCTTCGCACTTGACATTTGACTCTAGATTTAGGGATTTAACCTTGGTCACGCAATTAGCTCCTCCCGTCCATTCGTTTGTTAACCCTTTGCACTCGAGAGGTGAGCTTCAGTCACCGTTTCATAAAATTTGGAAGATCGATATTAATTAACATATCAAATTTAATGCAATGTAACAGTGTGTGGGGTATGGAAGTCAAATAATTCTACAATTCTATTATTATACAATTCTGTATTTACTGCTCAAAAAAGTATTGTCAGTTTTTTATTAGAGAATCTTTGAATTTCTACTCTTCTCTAGGCAAGAGTCGTCGAGTGCAAAGGGTTAACACTGAACACAGGACAATCAAATACTTAGAAATTTTTGAGTTATCTGTCCCTCGTTTTATTCCATTTTATTTTACACTCGTGGGTCAGGTCAAACTCTCGTGTCTTATATAGTAAATACAAAATAGGCACCTTATCTCATTATTCGCTATTTCTGCCTAATACAGTCAAATCGAAATTTAATTTCGTGAGAGGACGAACCGTCGGCATCTTCCCTCTTTAATTTCCAAAGGATAGGTCGATAAAACCAAACGATCCATCGCGAAATTCGCGAATAAAATACTCGTCGCAGCAATATGCGATAAACGCAAAAATTATTGCATCGGTGAGTTAGCATGTAGGATAGAAACGATAGAACGAAATCTTCGTGTCCAAACCACTTTTTCCATCTATCTGATAGAACATATACCAACGGTAATTTAATCCGAAAGCTCTCCACGCGTCAGTTTATATGTAACACACACACACTCGCATATGTATGTATATCGTGACACCGTTTTCTCGAAATTGGTCCGATATTGGTTCGTCTGAGATAGGTTTAAAGGCTTAGAGAAGTACCGGCTCTCTTGGATGAGGCCGGTCAACGTGGATCTGAGGATCCAGCGACGTAAGAGGATTACGTTGATCTACCTGATCGCCGAGCATGTTACGCGACCTCTAACTGCGCCCTCATTAATTTTTATACGTCATTCGCGATCTTCAATTTGTCCAGACTGGAGCTGTGGCTCGATAACTGGATTTCGGGAATTAGACCGGTTCGAAGACAGATTAGGGATTACAATTGCTGCGAAAAATTCTTTAATATCGCGTTCGAGATGTTTCTTCGCTGATCCACCGGTAGATGTAATTATTGGAAAGCTATAGAGACCAGGGAGAATTGTATGGACCGGTTTCCGTTGCAAGGCACTTAGATTTCAATCGGAGAATTAATGACACGTATAGTGGGGTAGTTGGAAATATTTTAGGGTCGTTTTTAAGCGAGTATAGCATACAACTTCTTTATTCTTAATTTTGTAAAATCGAGGGATAGTTTATAGTAAATTAGCACCGAATTGTCTAAGGCATTTTTGAACCGTGATTCTTTGAATAAAAATTTTGAGGGGAAAAAATGTAACGTCGAGAACAGGAGAGATAATCTTATTTTGGGAGCCATAATGACAATGCAATGCAAACAACTGCAGAGTATAATTACCAAGAATATAGTAATACGATGCCTTAGACAAACATAGTGTTAATATTGCGGCCATTACCAACGCAGTAGAAACTGGTCGTATCAGTCAGCCATCGTTTACACTGGCACACAGGGACGTGGGCTACTAACAGTGGAGTTGGTTAGCATATAATCAGCCAGCCGTGACAGTAGCAGGAGTTTGTAGAAACTCCGACAGCAGTAGTTCCTGATCACACGATGACGACAGTGGTGGATGTCAGATATTAGGCACTGGCAATGGTACTCCACGCAAATGACTAGGAAGGACTGTATGAGCATCATTCGCAAATAATATTAGTTTTGCTACACGTATTTTATCGCTCATATTGCAGCAATGTTAAATTACAGACCATCTGCTAATTCGTGAAGTACAAAATAAAGGAATGATAACTATATTTGATTGTCGTGGTAATACTATAATAGTAATTTAAGTACAGCTAACCCTCCTATAACACGGTAGATAGGTTCCTAGAAAATCTCGTGTTGTGTGAAACCGTGTTGTATAAGACCCAGAGCCAATACAAAAAGGGGGGGTTACGTTCCGAAAACTTATTAAAAATAAATTTTGTTTTAAATTCTACATTGACAACTTAATTTTTAATAAAAATATAAATGTATGTACAACGCGAAACAAAAAAAAAAGAAACAAAAATATTATTTTAATTTAACGCAACTTTAATTTAATAAATTTCTTCGTCGTCAGTGCTCATGTAGAAGTACAGTGCTGTACAAAGGTTTCCGCAATTTATGAATCGTGTTATAGTGAAACCGTGTTATAGGATGCAGTGTTGTAGGAGGGCTACCTATACTCAATATTATTTGATTTAAAGTGGCATACAGTGCATATATTATGTAGCATTCTATGTATCGAATCTCTTCGATTTCCAAAAACGTTTATCACGTGTCAAATTAATAATGCGTGATTGGTTTTGTAATATTAAGGATAGCGAGCGTGATGTTAAAATGGAGTGTTTATTTATAGTAAAAGTATACAATAGTTATAGTAGAGACATTTTTAATTAAAAATAATTCATTGCAGTATTATAAAAGAACATACTAGAAACTAAATTATTGTACACAAACTGAATTTATGGCAGTATGATGTAATATTAAAAAATATGTCGAAAAATAAAATATATATTAAAAATATGTACAATATTTTATATTGTATATATTTTTTTTATATATTTTTTCATATT